AATCACATCTATGATGAGCCTCATGTTTAATATTTGTTCTATTGCTGACCAAATACACAGATACGGACTTCTGACCTCTTCTCAGATTTTTCTAATCTTTAAACTTATTCCATGTCAGGAATCTTTTGGAAGGGAGTCAGCAATGCAGCTCCTGTATTTCATTCATGACAGGCTTACTTTATGATTTTAAGTCTTCAGTTTGAACTCTGCAGAGACATTGTACATTTCCCTTAACTAGTGAAAATCAGGCACTAAAAAAACGCCTGCCGTTCCTTTAAAGAAGAATATAACACTCAGTCACTTATTCTTTTGAAACAGGTCCCGGAGGAATTAGCTGAAACAGGACTGTCGCTGCAACTCCAACCTCCAAAAACTCACAAATCCTGAGAAGTTGATTGCGCAGACTCTTATTTCCCCACCTGTCCTGGTCGGCTGGGAGAGTTTTCATTTAGTCGTTTAGTGGTTTTCTGGTTAAAGTGACTTAGTGGTAAATGGTGCTCCTTTGAAGTGGCAAAGCATGTAATGTCTGCTGTATACACTGCAGCTACCGAGTGTTATTCTTCATTACAGCATTAGTGCAGGAGATGTGGGATTGGGGGAAATTGGAGGATTAAGGTCCAGGATTGCTAAACACTTCTACTAAATGAATCAAAGGGGTTGAAAGGTTCAGTAGACCCAGATCACGGCTTGATTTTCCAAGAAGGGAAATTAATGAACACTTATCGGTCTTTACAGAACTGAATATAGCTGATAAAAATTTCTAAGGTGGATCTTTTCATGTGCACAGCTGGTTTCCAGAATCCCATGAAAGGGAAACTATTATGTATTTTTAGTCAATACATATTTTAAATCACGACTGGAACATTTATCTACTTAGAGTTCACATTTTTTAACTGCTCTCTCTTTCATATTTTGACTCTTGTATCACAGTATGTGTTTTTTACTTGGATAGAATGGAAAAGCATTGGATCCCCTCTCTGGTTTGAAATGCTATTCGGTGCTCTGTTAGATTTCCACTCGCTTACTGTCATGGTGAGAATGGTTTGATCAGATTGGAAGTGAGGGAGAATCTACAGCAGGGATGAAGGCCAAAATGAAAAACACTTTTTTTTAGGTTGACAGGGTAGAAGGCTATAACCCACTCTAAGCTTTTTATTTATGACAAAAGGACTCCTCACAGTCTGATTGTGAGCTGGAGCTCTCCAGCAAGGTGTTCAAGAGACCACTGCTTCCATGCTGAGAACAGTGTTCTGATCTGCAGCCTTCTGTCCCAGGGACAGGAGAGCTGCCTGCATTTGTCCCCCTTATATCTGATGTCAGCTCTTCCTGATTAATAGTCAATGTCAGCAGCAACTTCTGCAATCCTTATTGGGGCCCCCTTCCACCCCCAGGTCCCATAGCAGCTGCATGGCCCGCTATGGCTATTGTTACGCCACTGGCACCATCAATTGGTCTACTTATGAGTGAAATTACAATTGGCCATTTATGTTGGTTTTCCTTCTGAACGGAGCTGTACTTTAGTACCACGTTTACCCAGGTAAATGTATTTATTCAATAAAGAACTAAAACTCAATCTGAGCTGACACCTTGTAGGGCAGCATGGGACACGCATGCTAACTCTTGGTATCTGAGCTGCTTCTGCTATGGAAACTTTGGAAGCAGCACAGAATTTGCTTGCTTGTTTTGTTTCCTTGCTGAAAAAAAGGAGCGGACTGCATGGGGTCATGGGTGGGAGGGACAAAGCATCTGAAAGCTGCCCATACACTGCTTGAATTTTGTCCGAGTCCAAAATTTGACCAGTGTGTGTCCCTGTCAGCATCCCTCGGTTCCACGAAAAGTGATTTTTCAATAAACCTTTGTCAAAGTAACTGGACAGGAAATATTCGGCCTAACAGTGACTGCAGCTAAGCAGCTGCAGTCACTATTATGGTATTCTGACAGTGGCCGCTGTCCTGTATTCTGGGTGTGCGGCTGTCGGGAATACAATAGCCTGGCAGGGAGATTCCACCAGCCACACTGTCTTGCATGGATGGGGGATGCCAGAATTTTTTCTCATTCAGCCTGCGGGGGCTGAACAAGAAAAAAACGATGTAGCTTTAAGTGAGAAGGAATGTTTGTGGCTAATATTTTTACTAAAAATAAAGAATGTAATTAGGTTTTATTGTAATGGCATCCAAAGCAAAATAAATGCTCAGAACAAACATTTTAAGCAGTCCATCAAAAGCTGATGTTTCAGTGAAGGTTGGACTGTGCTGGGGTGAATCAGGCAATGACTATCTTTCCCAAATTCTAACAGCAAGATGCTGAAGGTCCCCAGCTATGCAGGGAAAAGTGAAACCCCTGTGTAAGGTGACAGATAGACAGATTGGGAGAACAGGCACAAGAGAGGGACAAGGAGCTGCTGGATGGTAACAGAAATCTTACCGGTTACGGCTTTTCTCCGATGCATTTCAGGTGAAGGTGAAGGAGATGGCAGGCAATCCAGGTGCGAGGATGTGGAATTATTTTTCTTCTGGTTTTGCTCTTCAGTAAGATCGACAAATTTAGTTATCGACAGTCCAGGAAGTGGCTGCTTATACCTTGCATACTGAAGAGCATCCATGATCCAACGCCTTTCACGCCAAATTTCATCTGTTTGCTATATTGACATGAAAAATAAAAATATATGTACATAACCGTTCTCATATCCTACAAATATATATGTTCTAGCAGCATTACACACACATTTTAAAATGCTAGAACGACATTTCCTTATTGGCATTCTTTAGTGAATACTTTGAGGTTAATATGTGTAAATCAGTAAATGAGCTTATAAACAGACCCGGACTGACCTCAGTAGCTGTAAGCACTGTAGAGTATTTCATCCTCAAAGGTCACAACAGAGACTCTGAAGTCAGTTTCTGAATGTCTAACAAATTGTATGTATGTTCCAAGGGGAAAAAAGATTTACCTTCCCCATGCTTAAAGTGACATTAAAACCTCAGATTTTTTAACACAAACCAATACTGTAATGTGTGCCTTACTGTAATCCATGATAGTTTCCCTTCTCTTTGCTGCGCTTCCTTTTAAATCCGTATCTCTTCTCATGCTGGGTGAGAACTTCCCTTTGAGAACTTAACGGAAAGCAACATCATGTGTAATAATGTGTATGAAAAGCACACACCCTACCAGCAGCTTTATAAGCCTCCCACCATAACGTCAGTAAGCCATCATAGACAGAAAAATGACATTGAAGAACTTGCAGGGTAAAGAAGCTTTATCTTATAAAAAAGATCAGATCAAGGTGCATGTACATCAAATGTGCTGCGTCCAGCACAAGAACATGAGCTCCTGATGCAAATATACACATCAACAACCTTTCCAAGCAAAGGAGTTATTCTATGATGTTTTTCTGTCTATGATGGGATATTGGGAGCCCTTATAAACAGTGGCGTCACAAGGGGGGTGCGGACGCACCCGGGTCACACCAAAATGACTGTCAGTCATTTTGGTGTCACCCCCTCTAAAAAAAAAGTTGGGCACTCGGTCATGGACCGAGAGCCCGACAGTTTCAGGAGAGAGGAGGGGACCCCAGCGGCATACCTCATCCCCTCGGGTGAACGTCCCCTCCTCTCTCTGCCGAGATGGCCGCCTGCAGGTGTCAATCAGATAGCAGCGCATGCGCAATGTCATGGCGGGGGTGACACCCGGCCTCGGGACGGTTCTGCTTATGACAATGGTGAACAAATGACAAGCTGATTCAATGTGTGAATTATGGAGGGAGAAGGGAATCCACGTTGAGAGCCTTGTTTCGACCGATGTATATATTTACAAGGTCACCTCACCTCTGGTGAATGATCTGTGAGTGATGGAGCACAGTGAAGGTGGACGGTGTGGAACCCACTACTGTCTATTGGGATTTTATGATTTATGGATTTGAATTTATGTGGTGTGGATGAGCACTTATAATCACACTGCAGGACTATTATGGACTTTTGGTTTATATATTTAAGGACACATTTGTTATATATTTATATTTGTCGTACATCATTTGTTTTATTTTTATTCACTTATTATTGAGCACTGTGATTGGGGTGAAACGCTATTTACATAGCATGCCTAAAAAGTATTTTAATTTGAATAATTAAAAAAAAAAAAAAATCTTACGTTTTAGATGTTTCTGTTTAGACCACAGGCTTCTCTCTACAATTCTGAAGAGATGGGGAACTCTGGCTATCCGCATAGAAAGAATAGGGACACTCTGAGCTTCCTCTGAATAACCTAATTGCTTCTAGAACTTTAACCCTTTATTACAACTGATAATGAAAATCTGCCAGTAAAGTACAGACAGGGTTAATTATGGTAAACATAACTCCCCCCCCCCCCCCCTACATTCCAGAGGAAAACACATTTTAGTTTTCAGAAAAGCACAAGTGAAAATGGAATCAGCAAAAACATTTTTAAGTTATGCTATGTGAATGAGAACATGTAACAGATATGAAATAGGTGTTATCCCAATTTGACTGCAAAAGAGGAAATGCCCTTTAAGAAATGCATTGTTATGTGCTATCCATAGTGCTGATCGTGTGTTTTGATAGAAAGGGCATTTTTTAAGTCACATTAGCTTTTTTTTTTTTTTTTTCCTCAATAGAGTTAAAAAGGGTTAGAAACCCTCTCATTGGTTTATTGCTGTCTCACTTCTGCAGGACACATGCAGGAACCTTCAAGGATGACAAACAGGAAATCAGACTGACGAATGGAAGGTGAAGCAGAGAGGTAAACTCATACAGCCAATCCAACAGTAGATGGGGACTGTTTTAGTATGTTTTGGTGCAAGACATAAGAATGGCAAAACAATGCTCTGGTTAAGGAGGAAGGCAGAGAACACATTAGGAAGAAAGGTGATCAGGCCTCCGCACTACCTGGCCCAGGAAGAGAATTGCCAAGGCATACATCTGACACTTGATGGTGCTCAAGGATAAACGCTGGTCCAGGCCAGATTGGAGGGAAAACAGGATCCATCACATGTGCCCACAGCAAGTTAGTGAACAGGAAAAATGGGGGATATGCAAGTATGCATCCTTGATGTCAACCAAGACCAGGGACTCTGCCTGTTGGAGGGAGGTAATGATCGACTTGGTAGAGTCCATACAGAACTTTTGGACCTGAAGGAACCTGTTGAGAACCTTCAGATCATGTATAGTGCGACCCCTCCGTTTTGCTTTGGAAACCGTGAAAAAGTTGGAATAGAATTCCTGGAATTTCTCTGCCTCCAAAACGGGGACTATCACCCCCTTGGGAAATGGGCTGGTCTAGGGCAGAAAAGAAATCTGCCAGTCTTTCAGGCTTAGAGGGCCAGGTTTTATGATGGAATTGTGTGCCTGGCTTGGGCTTGGTACCTGAGGCCTAAGAGAGAGGAAAGGAACTTTTCTTAAAGGAGGGAGGAGAAAATTGACCATTTTAAGAACAAATAAGGTAACAATTCAGCTTTAACACTACTTAACCTACTGCAAATCTATAGTTTCATTTGGTGCCAAAAACAGTAAGCTGTCCCAGTGCCCAGATTGGTGCCCAAAGCTCCCTGTACTGCACCAAGATCAGATTTACTGTGCAAAGATATTTGCACTACAAAAAAAAGTAATATAATTTGATAAAGAAAAGTTTACAAACAAAAAAACAAACCAAGCAAATACTTTGACCGGACTGATGAAACTTATCTTGCAATGCCGGGTCTTGTGTTTTTGCTCCTTTATTTTCATAACTATACCATATTTACATAGCCTTTCCCTGCTCTCCATAATGTGCGGTTTGTGGAGTGGCGGCTGTACAGTTTAAATGTATGATCACACACATGTTCCTGTGGTTTGTGGTCAGTGCTGCAGATCACTGTGGTCTGCACAGATGATTTATTCCTTACAAGGTAAGGTACAGCTGCTTTTTATTAGCTTACAACCTGGGGCAACTTCATAATCAACCAGCAGATACACTGTAGATATGAAAGAAGAGCTCAAAAGAAATAAAAGATGCTTGTACGTGCGTGTTTGTAATATATATATATATATATGTGTGTATGTAATAAATTATATATGTGTGTATATATATA